GATGTGACATAAAGCATTACCTCACTCACTCACTCACTTAGTGTATAAAAACGTACTAGCTACAGTACATTCGTAGTGCAATTTTTATATCTTGTTTGACAAAACGTACAGTCTATCCCTACTCACTTAGTCCTTAGTGTATAAACACGTACTAACTACAGTACATTGGTAGTGCAATAATCATATGTTGTTTGACAATACACTCAGTCTATCCCTACTCGGTAACTGACTCCTTAGTGTATAAAAACGTACTAGCTACAGTACATTGGTAGTGCAATAATCATATCTTGTTTGACAATACATACAGTCTAACCCTACACACTCACTCACTCCTTAGTGTATAAAATGTAGTAGCTACAGTACATGGGTAGTGCAATAATCATATGTTGTTTGCCAATACATACAGTCTATCCCTACTCACTCACTCACTCCTTAGTGTATAAAAACGTACTAGCTACAGTACATTGGTAGTGCAATAATCATATGTTGTTTAACAATACTTACAGTCTATCCCTACTCAATCACTCACTCCTTAGTGTATAAAAACGTAGTAGCGACAGTACATCGGTAGTGCAATATTCATTTGTTGTTTGACAATACATGCAATCTATCCCTACTCACTCACTCACTCCTTAGTGTATATTGCCGATGTGACGTAAAGCATTACCTCACTCACTCACTCACTTAGTGTATAAAAACGTACTAGCTACAGTACATTGGTAGTGCAATATTCATATGTTGCTTGACAATACATACAGTCTATCCCTACTCACTCAGTCCTTAGTGTATAAAAACGTACTAGCTACAGTACATTCTAAGTGCAATAACCACATGTTGTTTGACAATACATTCAGTCTATCCCTGCTCGGTTACTCACTCCATAGTGTATAAAAACGTACTAGCTACAGTACATGGGTAGTGCAATAATCATATGTTCTTTGACAATACATACAGCCTATCCCTACTCACTCACTCACTCCATTGTGTATAAAAAACCGTACTAGCTAGAGTACATTCTTAGTGCAATAACCACATGTTGTTTGACAATACACTCAGTCTATCCCTACTCACTCACTCACTCCTTAGTGTTTAAAAAAGTAGTAGCTACAGTACATTCGTAGTGCAATATTTATATCTTGTTTGACAAAACGTACAGTCTATCCCTACTTACTCAGTCCTTAGTGTATAAACACGTACTAACTACAGTACATTGGTAGTGCAATAATCATATGTTGTTTGACAATACACTCAGTCTATCCCTACTCGGTAACTGACTCCTTAGTGTATAAAAACGTACTAGCTACAGTACATTGGTAGTGCAATAATCATATCTTGTTTGACAATACATACAGTCTAACCCTACACACTCACTCACTCCTTAGTGTATAAAATGTAGTAGCTACAGTACATGGGTAGTGCAATAATCATATGTTGTTTGACAATACACTCAGTCTATCCCTACTCGGTGACTGACTCCTTAGTGTATAAAAACGTACTAGCTACAGTACATTGGTAGTGCAATAATCATATCTTGTTTGACAATACATACAGTCTATCCCTACACACTCACTCATTCCTTAGTGTATAAAACGTAGTAGCTACAGTACATTGGTAGTGCAATAATCATATGTTGTTTGACAATACATTCAGTCTATCCCTAATTAGTCAATCACTCCTTAGTGTATAAAAACGTACTAGCTACAGTACATTGGTAGTGCAAGAATCATATATTGTTTCCCAATACATTCAGTCTATCCCTACTCAATCACTCACTCCTTAGTGTATAAAAACGTACTAGCTACAGTACATTGGTAGTGCAATATTCATTTGTTGTTTGACAATACATTCAGTCCATCCCTACTCACTAACTCACTCCTTAGTGTATAAAAACGTAGTAGCTACAGTACATTGGTAGTGCAATAATCATATGTTGTTTGACGATACATACAGTCTATCCCTACACACTAACTCACTCCTTAGTGTATAAAAACGTAGTAGCTACAGTACATTGGTAGTGCAATAATCATATGTTGTTTGACAATACATTCAGTCTATCCCTACTCACTCACTCCTTAGTGTATAAAAACGCACTAGCTACAGTACATTCTTAGTGCAATAACCACATGTTGTTTGACAATACACTCAGTCTATCCCTACTCACTCACTCACTCCTTAGTGTATAAAAAAGTAGTAGCTACAGTACATTGGTAGTGCAATAATCATATGTTCTTTGACAATACATGCAATCTTTCCCTTCACACTTACTCACTCCTTAGTGTATAAAAACGTACTAGCTACAGTACATTCTTAGTGCAATAACCACATGTTGTTTGACAATACACTCAGTCTATCCCTACTCACTCAATCTTTAGTGTATAAACACGTACTAGCCACAGCACATTGGTAGTGCAATAATCATATGTTGTTTGACAATATATACAGTCTATCCCTACACACTCACTCACTACTTAATGTATAAAAACGTAGTAGCTACTGTACATTGGTAGTGCAATAATCATATGTTGTTTGACAATACATACAGTCTATCCCAAGTCACTCACTCACTCACTCACTCACTCACTTACTCACTCATTCATTTACTCACTCATTCACCCAACCATCCACCAATCACTCAATCACGCAATCACTCACTCAATCACTCACTCAATTACTCACTAGCTACTGTACATTGGTAGTGCCATAATCATTTGTTGTTCGACAATACATACAGTCTATCCCTACACACTCACTCACTCCTTAGTGTACAAAAAACGTTCTAGCTACAGTACATTAGCAGTGCAATAATCATATGTTGTTTGACAATACATACAGTCTATCCCTACACACTCACTCACTCCTTAGTGTATAAAAACGTACTAGCTACAGTACATTGGTAGTGCAATAATCATATTTCGTTTGACAATACATTCAGTCTAACTCTACTCCCTAACTCATTCCTTAGTGTATAAAAACGTACTAGCTACAGTACATTGGTAGTGCAATAATCATATGTTGTTGACAATACATACAGTCTATCCCCACTCACTCACTCACTCACTCACTCACTCACTCACTCACTCACTCACTCACTCACTCACTCACTCACTCACCCACCCACCCACCCACTCACTCACTCACTCACTCACTCACTCACTCACTCACTCACTCAATCACTCACTCACTCACTCACTCACTCACTCACTCACTCACTCACTCAATCACTCAATCAATCACTCAATCAATCACTCAATCAATCAATCAATCAATCAATCACTCAATCAATCACTCAATCAATTACTCAATCAATTACTCAATCAATTACTCAATCAATCAATCACTCAATCAATCAATCACTCAATCAATCACTCAATCAATCACTCAATCAATCACTCAATCAATCACTCAATCAACCACTCACTAGCAACAGTACATTGGTAGTGCGATAATCATATGTTGTTTGACAAGACATACAGTCTATCCCTATACACTCACTTACTCCTTAGTGTATAAAAACGTTCTAGCTACAGTACATTGGTAATGCAATAATCACATGTTGCTGACAATACATACAGTCTATCCCTACACACTCACTCGCTCCTTAGTGTATAAAACGTACTAGCTACAGTACATTGGTAGTGCAATAATCATATTTCGTTTGACAATACATTCAGTCTAACTCTACTCCCTAACTCATTCCTTAGTGTATAAAAACGTACTAGCTACAGTACATTGGTAGTGCAATAATCATATGTTGTTTGACAATACATAATACAGTCTATCCCTACTCAATCACTCACTCCTTAGTTTATAAAAACGTACTAGCTACAGTACATTGGTAGTGTAATAATGGTATGTTGTTTAATAATACATACAGTCTATCCCTACACACTCACTCACTCCTTAGTGTATAAAAACGTAGTAGCTACTGTACATTGGTAGTGCAATAACCACATGTTGTTTGACAATACTTTCACTCTACATTGAATATGATATGCAAGATTTAAACGATTAAGCTCCCACCGATATACAACTGGCAAACATGTGTCGTCCGCCCGTTCACCAGATTATATCAAACGTGCTCCAACAGATTACATTAAACGAGCTTCAACAGATTACATCAAACGTGCTCCACCAGTTTACATCGAACGTGCTTCAACAGATTACATCAAACGTGCTTCAACAGATTACATCAAACGTGCTTCATCAGATTACATCAAACGTGCTCCACCAGATTACATCAAACGTGTTCCACCAAATTACATCAAACGTGCTTCACCAGATTACATCAAACGTTCTTCCATAGATAACATCAAACGTGCTCCACCAGATTACATCAAACGTGCTTCACCAGATTATATTAAACGTGCTCCACCAGTATATATCAAACGTGCTTTACCAGATTACATCAAACGAGCTCCACCAGATTACATCAAACGTGCTTCACCAGATTACATAAAACCTGCTTCCACAGATTACATCAAATGTGCTTCAACAGATTACATAAAACATGCTTCAGCAGATTACATCAAACGTGCTTCCACAGATTAAATCAAACGTGCTTTAACAGATTACATCAAACGTGCTCCACCAGATTACATCAAACGTGCTCCACCAGATTACATCACACGTGCTTCACCAGATTACATCACACATGCTTCAACAGATTACATCAAACGTGCTCCACCAGATTACATCAAACGTGCTCCACCAGATTACATCACACGTGCTTCACCAGATTACATCACACATGCTTCAACAGATTACATCAAACGTGCTCCACCAGATTACATCAAACGTGCTCCACCAGATTATATCAAACGTGCTCCACCAGATAACATCAAGCGTGCTTCAGCATATTGCATCAAACATGCTTTTACAGATTACATCAAACGTGCTCCACGAGATAACATCAAACGTGCTTCACCAGATTATATTAAAACGTGCTCCACCAGATTAAATCAAACGTGCTCCACCAGATTACATAAAACCTGCTTCCACAGATTACATCAAACGTGCTCCACCAGATTACATCAAACGTGCTTCAGCAGATTACATCAAACTTGCTTCTACAGATTGCATGAAACGTGCTTCTACAGATTACATCAAACATGCTCCACCAGATTATATCAAACGTGCCTCACCAGATTACATCAAACGTGCTTCGCCATATTACATCAAACGTGCTACCACAGATTACATCAAACGTGCTTCACCAGATTACATCAAACGTGCTTCACCAGATTACATCAGACGTGCTCCACCACATTACATCAAACGTGCTTCACCAGATTACATCAAACGTACTCCACCAGATTGCATCAATCGTGCTTCTACAGATTGCAGCAAACGTGCTTTTACAGATTACATCAAACATGCTCCACCAGTTTATATCAAACGTGCCTCACCAGATTACATCAAACGTGCTTCGCCAGATTACATCAAACGTGCTACCACAGATTACATCAAACGTGCTTCACTAGATTACATCAAACGTGCTTCACCAAATTGCATTCAAATGTGCTTCAACAGATTACATCAAACGTGCTCCACCAGATTACATCAAACGTGTTTCACCAGATTACATCAAACGTGCTACCACAGATTACATCAAACGTGCTTCACCAGATTACATCAAACGTGCTTCACCAGATTACATCAGACATGCTCCACCACATTACATCAAACGAGCTCCACCAGATTACATCAAACGTAATCCACCAGATTGCATCAATCGTGCTTCAACAGATTACATCAAACGTGCTTTTACAGATTACATCAAACATGCTCCACCAGTTTATATCAAACGTGCCTCACCAGATTACATCAAACGTGCTACCACAGATTACATCAAACGTGCTTCACCAGATTACATCAAACATGCTCCACCAGATTACATCAAACGTTCTCCACCAGATTACATCAAACGAGCTCCACCAGATTACATCAAACGTAATCCACCAGATTGCATCAATCGTGCTTCAACAGATTACATCAAACGTGCTTTTACAGATTACATCAAACATGCTCCACCAGTTTATATCAAACGTGCCTCACCAGATTACATCAAACGTGCTACCACAGATTACATCAAACGTGCTTCACCAGATTACATCAAACATGCTCCACCAGATTACATCAAACGTTCTCCACCAGATTACATCAAACGAGCTCCACCAGATTACATCAAACGTAATCCACCAGATTGCATCAATCGTGCTTCAACAGATTACATCAAACGTGCTTTTACAGATTACATCAAACATGCTCCACCAGTTTATATCAAACGTGCCTCACCAGATTACATCAAACGTGCTACCACAGATTACATCAAACGTGCTTCACCAGATTACATCAAACATGCTCCACCAGATTACATCAAACGTTCTCCACCAGATTACATCAAACGTGCTCCACCAGATTACATCAAACGTGTTTCACCAGATTGCATTCAAACGTGCTCCACCAGATTACATCAAACGTGCTCCACCAGATACATCAAACGTGCTCTACCAGATTATATCAAACGTGCACCACCAGATTATATCAAACGTGCTTCACAAGATTACATCAAACATGCTCCACCACATTACATCAAACGTGCTTTACCAGATTACATCAAACGTGCTCCACCAGATTACATTAAACGTGCTCCACCAGATTACATCAAACGTGCTCCACCAGATTATATCAAACGTGCTCCACCAGATTACATCAAACGTGCTTCAACAGATTTCATCAACCCTGCTTCGCCAAATTACATCAAACGTGCTTCTACACATTACATCAAACGAGCTATACCAGATTACATCACACGTGCTTCACCAGATTGCATCAAACATGCTTCTACAGATTACATCAAACGTGCTCCACGAGATAACATCAAACGTGCTTCACCAGATTACATCAAACGTGCTCCAGCAGATTGCATCAAACGTGCTTCAGCAGATTACATCAAACGTGCTCCACCAGATTATATCAAACATGCTCCACGAGATAACATCAAACGTGCTTCACCAGATTGCATCAAACGTGCTCCACCAGATTACATCAAACGTGCTTCAACAGATTACATCAAACGTGCTCCACCAGATAACATCAAACGTGCTCCACCAGATTACATCAAACGTGCTTCAACAGATTACATCAAACGTGCTCCACCAGATAACATCAAACGTGCTTCGCCAGATTATATCAAACATGCTTCAACAGATTGCATCAAACGTGTTTCACCAGATATAACCGAATACACTTAACATCAAGATATAACCGAATACACTTAACATCCAGATATCACCAGGTTCACTTAACATCCAGATATCACCAGGTACACTTAACCTCTAGATATAGCTGGATACACCTAACGTTTATATATAAATGGGAAACTTAACATCAAGATATGACCAGGTACACTAAATATCCAGATATGATTGGGTGCGCTTAACGTCCAGATAGAGCCGGATACACTTAACGTCCAGACATATTCGGGTTCACTTAACATCCAGATATAACCCAATACACTTAACATCCAAATATAGCCAGATACACTTAACGTTTAGATATCACCGGGTACATTTACCACTTAACACTTAAGACCCCAAAATAACCAGATACAATTGACATCCCAAAATAACCAGGTACACTTTACATCCCAAAATAACCAGGTACACTTGACATCCCAAAATAACCAGGTACACTTAACACCCTAAAATAACCAGGTACAATTGACATCCCAAAATAACCAGGTACACTTAACATCCCAAAATAACCAGGTACACTTAACATCCAGATATAATTGGCTCCCCTAACCTATAGATATAACTGGATAGATTTAACGTTCGTATATAACTGGGTGCACTTAACATCCAGATATGACCAGGTACACTTAACATCCAGATATGACCAGGTACACTTAAAATCCAGATATCACCAGGTACATTTAATATCTAATATATAGCCGGATTCACTTAACATCCAGATATAACCGGGTACGCTTAACGTCCAGGTATAACTGGGTACACGTAACACCCAGATATAATCGGATCAACTCAACATCCAGATATAATTGGATAGACTCAAAATCCAGATATAACTGAGAACACTGAAAAGCGGGTACAACCCTTTACAATTCAAATACACCTTGTGTCGGGACGGTCACACGCTCTGCAGTTCACTGTCAGTCAGCTGCATACAGAGGCCCTTGGCCTCATCAAAACGATAAACGTCTACGATCGCTAATCATTTCTTCTCTCACACATTAAATTGAGGTACAGTGATGTAACTGTAATATTGTTCAACGCTTATTGAAGCCATACTCAGGCAACAGGCACGGATTCACAGTCCTTCAGTCAAAACAATAATGCATGATCAATCCAATCATGCGGAATGTCCATATTTCAGGTGACTTCAGGACGTTATCAGACCGCCTCCGTGGTCTTGTGGTAGAGCGTCCGCCCGGAGAGCGGAAGGTCCAGGGTTCGATCCCGTCATACAAAAAGACGTTAAAAGATTGTACTTGTTGTTACCCTGTCTGGCGCTCGGCATTAAGGGGCTAAAACAAGGACTGGTCGGCTCGGAGTCAGTATACTTGGTCTGAGTGGGGTATTCATGTTAAACTGCGGCATGGTATCTCAGTGAGCTAGCACTATAAATCGGCATCAGTCCGGACTAGTACAAGCAGCCACACACACACATACACGTACATGCACGTCGCTATATAAGTGCAATAATCTTGGACGCGACGTTAAAACCAATTTCCAAAACCTCACCTCAGGACTTTATCACAAACTTAAATGTTCCACGTTTATTTGTTGACCAGGTAACAATCAAAGGACCTCAAGGTAAAGCCTCCAGACAAGACTGTGGCCGCTTTGGTGAACAAATACCGGAAGAGCACCTAGGAGGGAATAATGGTACGAGTAAAACCGTTGAGGGTTGATTCACTTGACCAGAGCTCTGAGGCAGCTCATGTTATATTCAACGAAGACTCTGCGGAAGACCGTGTCGTTGTACAGACGCTGTGTGGAGGCATGGAGAGATCTGGGATCTCCTGTACATACCATGAGAGGGATGGGAGAGCCGGTAGGCCGGAGGTCGGGGACAGAGGCAGCATGATGGAGAACGCTGTCTGGGTGATCATAGTCTACCTTCAGATGTCGGTTGGAGACCATGATGCGATGTTTGCCTTTGAGGAGAATATGGCTCTCTTTTTGGCAATAACGCATGATGTGCAAAATGTCATCTACTTACTGGGAGGTGATGTTGAAGCTGTCGTGTCAAAGGGGTTTCCCTTTTTCCGTATGAAGAAGGATAAGAATTGGCTTGGGCATTTAACAGGTTTAGTGGAGACTACACCTACTAAGATTACATCAAACCTGTTTCACAGATTCTACTACCAACTAGTGCAACAAAATGGTTCCTTCTTTCCGATATCTCGAGAATCGTTATCTGTTTGGGCAAGTATATTGTCTTACACAAGCCTCAGTCTGAATTGGACACTACAGCAATCCAGTGGGTCTCAGGTTTATAATGTGACCTTTAAAGATGGGTATTTGGTAATAACACGATCAGAGATCCAGAACAATAACGAATCCAACGGTCAGGTAACAGAGACGTTATTTTCTGATAACCCAAGTGACATTATTCGCGATTGTGATAATGCAGATTCCAGTGACAAAGTATCTGAAGACTCACCTTTTCTGATTGAAAGGAATACCATACACAACATAAATTGGACTGATGTGAGAAATATTGAACCATCGTTGATACCAAATGATAGCATATGTACGACTGAGAGTATAATACTAATACAAGGTTTTCAGGTGATGTTCTTTATAGGGATAGGTGTCATGCTTGGTTATTGTACAGCCCCTATCCCTATTGGTCTCCACCTGTCACTACCTTACTTGTCAGAAGTACAACTAGGTTTCGTTGCTATAAGCTTCCTTCTCTCAGCTCTCAATGTGTTCCGCAGTAGACGCCTGATGTCAACTGAACTATCATACATGACATGCTACCAGTTGCTGGTTGCTTTTGTGTCTGTTATCCTACAAGGGCTGTTCACTGCAGGCCGTCTTCCCTTCCCTGTGAGAGTGACACCTCAAATAGGAGGTCTTGCCTTCTTCAGTATCTTCAACATGGGGCTCGTAAGTGATTTCATCGCATCCAATAGTCAGGGGCACACATGTAGAATTATTGTCAGAGCTCTTACATTAGGTTCGGTGATTTTAGTTACCGTTGGTTACTGCACCCTGTGTCAGCTCAGATACAAACAAGCTGGCGTAAGTTTTAGAGCAACTCTCATAATCACAGCTGTTCATTTCGTCAGCCAGTATGGGCTTTTCAAATGTGTCATCAAATACGTTCGGTATATCATCGGATTCTCCTGCCAACGAAAACTAGGGACGCTAGCTGAACAAATATTGCTTGTGATATACGCACTCGTTTGGTTGATTCCGATTTTTCTTTTTTATGAGACAAGGGCTGATCATTCGTGTCCTTTATGTCCAAATATAACAAACTCAACCTCACCAAACTGAAATACGGTTTGAAGTTCAAATCCCACTCAATGACTCTAGAATACGCATAGACTGTAAAACTAACATGAGGATTGTGTTTTTCGTCATGGTTGCCAGAATATGTCGGGTTATTGGATATCCGAGATGTTAATTTGAGATTGCTGATTCAAGATTGACTTCCTCCATGTTTGTTTGTATGTTTGTTGTTTAATGCCGCACTCAGCAATATTCCAGTTATATGATGGCGGTCTATAAATCATTGAGTCTGGACCAGACAATACAGTGATTGACGCCATACGTATCAACCCACGCAATTGGGATACGTTGACATGCTTCAACCAAGTCATCGATCCTGACCATCCGATCCCGATGCGACAAGCACAGTCGTCTTTTCGACAAGCGTGGTTTGCTGAAGACCTATTCTACCCCCGATATTCACGGGTAGACTACCCCCATGGATTGAACTGCCAATTGTATTCACCATCTGTTTCTGTTACATCATACTGAAACATTCCGTGGTGTGTTCTTTTCGTTTCACTGTCCGTCTTTTGTTATTTTCATACCCCTTTTGATATTGGGGGTTAGTGTTCGTCTTCAGGGGCTGTCCTGGCTGTAAGAGGCGACTAAATGAGTTGGGTGACCAGGCTCCGTGACATGGACGTCATTGTGAAATAATTACGAGGACGCTCGGCTAGCCCATCGCACCATATCATGACGACCATTCAAAGATACCAACAATAGTACAGAAGCTTATTTCATTTGCATCGTGGATACAAGCAGAGTGTTGTATGTAATATCTATGAACTTTTATACACAGCTGCAGCTAAATATGGCAGAAGTGGCATGGCTGCTGCAGGGAGGGTATGCTTTTGGAATTTGAATTTAGATGACACACTGTTTCTCATAATTGGTTCCTTTTCCGTACGTAGTATATTTAGACACACGTTACACTGTGCTCTGTTTTACATTTACATAGGCCTAGTGGTTAAAGCGTTCACTTGTCACGCCGAAGACCCCTGTTCGATTCCCAACTTGGGTACCATGTTTGAAGCCCATTTCTGTTGTCCCTCGCTGTGATATTGCTGGAATATTGCTAAAAGCGACGTAAAACCATACTCACTCACTCACTCATGATTAGCACTCACAGTCGTGACAAGGTGGTACAAACAGTTTCATTACATGTTAACACAAATTGCTTCTGGATAGAATTGTGCTCAACACATTCAGATTTCCACAACAATGTACATATCCTCTGTATTGTCTGTTTGTTTTCTTGTTATTTAATGTCGCCATGTAAATAAAGTGTGTCGACCAGGCAAAGTCTTCTTCGTTACCCCGAGGTTAACACCTACCGGTGCACATATTTCTGATACTCGTACAGTGTGCACATATTTCTGATACTCGTACACCTTCCACACTAGGTCTTTGTGGCACTACTTTCGCTTCATTCATTTCGTTCGTTATTCGATCACATTTTGTTAACGTTGGTAATGCAATCAAACGTGTCAGAGGAAAACAAAATAAAGCAATAATCCTTTTGGTATGTTAACACATAACATGCACCTGCAGTTGATAATCGTTGGGCGAGAGTTTGACAGTTCAGGATTTTCGACTTTGGGATGACGCGACGCAACACGTGCGCTTTGCCTCTACTACATAAAACATTCAAGTCCAGGATGTATAAGTGCCCAAGCTTAGACGACCGCCTTCGTGGTCTAGTGGTAGAGCGTCCGCCCAGAGAGCGGAAGGGCCGGTGTTCGATCCCCGGCCGCGTCAGACCAAAAGACGTTAAAAGATGGTACTTGTTGTTACTCGGCTCGGCTCGGCTCTCGGCATAAAGGGGCTAAAACAAGGACTGGTCGGCTCGGAGTCAGTATACTGTGTCTGAGTGGGGTATTCATGTTAAACTGCGGCATGGTATCTCAGTGGGCTAGCACTATAAATCGGCATCAGTCCGGACTAGTACAAGGAGCCACACACACACACATACACGTGCATGCACGTCGCTATATAAGTGCAATAATCTTGGACGCGACATTAAACCCAATTTCACCTCACCCCTACTATATAAAACATTCAAGTCATGTTGCAATGTCGTAAAATCATCACACAGAAACAGAGTGTGATATAAGGCAATATTAAGTTTATTGGTCGGGACAGGTCCAGCTACTGCCGAGTACGAAGTCCACTCAAAGGCTCTCACTTGTGTGGATGATTCTTAAGACGATATTTAGGAGATAAACATACTGTGTTTTCAATGTAGAGCTAGGTTACTTGTAGATTTACCCGCTCTGAATTGAATTTGTAACCGAACCGAAGATAAATATGACTTGTAACTGGATGTTGAAAAAGTTGAATAATGCCTGATGAAAATTATAGTTACACCTTTACACAATAGATATCATGAAAACATGTCAGAGGAAAACAAAATAAATCAATATCCCTTTTGGTGTCCTGCCCTAATGAACACTTTGAATGCATTCATTGGGCAAAACTGATTTCGCTCATTGGCGACATATTTTCATAACGCTATAAATTAGTTGCATTTTTTGATAAAAATGAGTTGAATTATGAGTCATGATACTTGTAGCCAAACTTTTATATGAATTTGCAAAATAAAAACATGGGTGTTGAGCAATGGAAAGAAATTTGCCCATGGCGTGTATAAGAACAGGCACACATCAGGGTGTATCGTCATGTGGCACACATGAGGTGTATAAGAACATGCACACATCAGGGTGTATCGTCATGTGGCACCTAGGAGGTGTATAAGAACATGCACACATCAGGGTGTATCGTCATGTGGCACACAGGAGGTGTATAAGAACATGCACACATCAGGGTGTATCGCCATGTTGCACACTGGAGGTGTATTAGAACATGCACACATCAGGGTGTATCGTCATGTGGCACACAGGAGGTGTATAAGAACATGCACACATCAGGGTGTATCGTCATGTGGCACCTAGGAGGGGTATTAGAACATGAACTCATGAGGGTGTATCGTCATGTGGCACACAGGAGGTGTATAAGAACATGCACACATCAGGGTGTATCGTCATGTGGCACCTAGTAGGTGTATAAGAACATGCACACATCAGGGTGTATCGTCATGTGGCACCTAGGAGGTGTATAAGAACATGCACACATCAGGGTGTATCGTCATGTGGCACCTAGTAGGTGTATAACAACATGCACACATCAGGGTGTATCGTCATGTGGCACTTAGGAGGTGTATAAGAACATGCACACATCAGGGTGTATCGTCATGTGGCACAAAGGAGGTGTATAAGAACATGCACACATCAGGGTGTATCGTCATGTGGCACCTAGTAGGTGTATACGAACATGCACACATCCGGGTGTATCGTCATGTAGCACAAAGGAGGTGTATCAGAACATGAACACTTCAGGGTGTATCGTCATGTGGCACCTGGGAGGTGTATAAGAACATGAACACATGAGGGTGTATCGTCATGTGGCACACAGGAGGTGTATAAGAACATGCACACATCAAGGTGTATCGTCATGTGGCACACAGGAGGTGTATCAGAACATGCACACTTCAGGGTGTATCGTCATGTAGAACCTAGGAGGTGTATAAGAACATGCACACATCAGGGTGTATCGTCATGTGGCACCCAGGAGGTGTATAAGAACATGCACACTTCAGGGTGTATCGTCATGTGGCACCCAGGAGGTGTATCAGAACATTCACGTATTAGGGTGTATCGTCATGTGGCACACAGGAGGCGTATTAAGTCATGCACACATCAGGGTGTATCGTCATGTGGCACCTAGGAGGTGTATTAAGACATGCACACATCAGGGTGTATCGTCATATGGCACACAGGAGGTGTAAAAGAACATGCACACATCAGGGTGTATCGTCATGTAGCACCTAGGAGGTGTATAAGAACATGCACACTTCAGGGTGTATCGTCATGTGGCACCTAGGAGGTGTATTAGAACATGCACACATCAGGGTGTATTATCATGTGGAACACAGGAGGTGTACTAGAACATTCACACATCAGGGTGTATTATCATGTGGCACCCAGGAGGTGTATTAAGTCATGCACACATCAGGGTGTATCGTCATATGGCACACAGGAGGCGTACTAGAACATGCACACATCAGGGTGTATCGTCATGTAGCACCTAGGAGGTGTATAAGAACATGCACACTTCAGGGTGTATCGTCATGTGGCACACAGGAGGTGTATTAGAACATGCACACATCAGGATGTATTATCATGTGGCACCTAGGAGGTGTATAAGAACATGCACACTTCAGGGTCTATCGTCATGTGGAACACAGGAGGTGCACTAGAACATGCACACATCAGGGCGTATCGTCATGTGGCACACAGGAGGTGTATTAAGACATGCACACATCAGGGTGTATCGTCATGTGGCACACAGGAGGTGTATAAAAACATGCACACATCAGGGTGTATCGTCATGTAGCACCTAGGAGGTGTATTAGAACATGCACACATCAGGATGTATTATCATGTGGCACCTAGGAGGTGTATAAGAACATGCACACTTCAGGGTGTATCGTCATGTGGAACACAGGAGGTGCACTAGAACATGCACACATCAGGGCGTATCGTCATGTGGCACACAGGAGGTGTATTAAGACATGCACACATCAGGGTGTATCGTCATGTGGCACACAGGAGGTGTACTAGAACATGCACACATCAGGGTGTATCGTCATGTAGAACCTAGGAGGTGTATAAGAACATGCACACATCAGGGTGTATCGTCATGTGGCACCCAGGAGGTGTATAAGAACATGCACACTTCAGGGTGTATCGTCATGTGGCACCCAGGAGGTGTATCAGAACATTCACGTATTAGGGTGTATCGTCATGTGGCACACAGGAGGCGTATTAAGTCATGCACACATCAGAGTGTATCGTCATGTGGCACCTAGGAGGTGTAATAAGACATGCACACATCAGGGTGTATCGTCATATGGCACACAGGAGGTGTAAAAGAACATGCACACATCAGGGTGTATCGTCATGTAGCACCTAGGAGGTGTATAAGAACATGCACACTTCAGGGTGTATCGTCATGTGGCACACATGAGGTGTACTAGAACATGCACACATGAGGTGTATCGTCATGTGGCACACATGAGGTGTACTAGAACATGCACACATCAGGGTGTATCGTCATGTGGCACACAGGAGTTGTATTAAGACATGCACACATCAGGGTGTATCCTTATGTGGCACACAGGAGGTGTATGTAACCTTATGTGGCACCCATATCAGAATGCACTGCAATTA